AAATACAACGCCACAATAATTTTAAGAATCTATCCAGTACGAGCGGAGTTACAAAGATTTGTCACATGCTGCAATTGCATTCTCTCTTCTCTCGTCCCGACAAAACCGCTGGAAGCTAAGCAGGGAGGGATGGGAGGGGCAAACGAAAAACGTCACGCATGCCTTGTGATCTTGAACACTTTTTATTTTTTTCTTTGAATACGTGGCTTTTTCAGAGCGATCGCACGCACATTCATGGACAAGTGACTGCCTCCCACGGCGCTCTCTGTAACGAGCGAGCACACCATGTTCAAATCAGCCAATGGCTGATAGATGGGCTTACTACGAGTGATTTTCGGGCTTATTGCATGATTTGTCGAGAAAAGAGAAAGCAATTTTTAGCTGACTTTGATCATTTATTATGAATTCCAGGCCACGTGGTGCACTATAATATTTGGCTCGCGTGTTGTCCGGAGCCTCTACTACAGATCAGCAGCATTTTCTGATTATGCTCAAAAAGTGTTGGTGGGCCCCTTTAAAAAAGGTCAGCTTTGTCAGTTATTTTATCACGCGTGAGTCACTGTAGTTTTTCTAAAGACAGTTATGTCTATTTGTATAGCATGCATTGTTTGAGCCGTTTTCATATGTTTTGTTTGAGTAGATAGTTCCTGCTATTGGTATATTTTTTAACCACACAGTGCTCCTATTCACCTTGTTTGTGGTATATTGGTTTCTTGCTTCTTTTTATGTCTTGTGCCACAATATCTATACACAGCCTTGCTGTGGTGTTCAGTTCATATTATACCAGTAATAACAAATTTTTAAAGTTTAAGATTTCCCCTGTTCGATCTGAATGCAGAAGCTACTTTACTGTAAGTGTTATTTTACTCATTTTCTTTCTTTCTTTTTTTCCACCGAAAGTGCTCTTGAAAAGGATATGGTTTTTATATGAAAATATCTCGTGAAATATTCCTTGTGATGTTAGTTTACCCAAAAAAAATGAAAAGCGGAGGTTTAATGGGTTTTCTTTTTGTCTGCTAGAATTCAACTGAAACTCTTGCTCAACACTTGAATGTTTTACTTGGATTCTTAAATTGGGTTTGGATTCTTGAATTTAGTCGTGTTCCCTAGCAGAAAAGCGGCTGCCGCAAGGCTCGGAAGAAACAAAATAAAGCCTGGAGGCTTTTACGCCATTCGCCCGCAGCAGAAAAATCTCATCAATTTTAAAGAGATCAAATCACAAGGGCAGAGGACGTGCCGGAAAGCCAGGAAAGACAGTTGGCAGAGGTTCATGTCGAGTGTGAACTCCTATAGAGATGGAGTTAAGGCCTGAAAGAGCATCAAGAAAATAAGAGGCCAACCAACATATTTGGTACCATTAGTAAGCACCCAAGGGGAAAGCCTGGAAAATCAAGCTGATAATCTTGGAGGATGTTTCGAATCTATATCCAGCTCAACACACTACTCAGGCTCTTTCCAAAGTGTTATTGTCGGCCTTCCTGACATGGCGCCGCTTGGAAGTGATGCAGTAGCAGGACAGCGCTCCCAGAGGTGAACCACAAGCGACAACGACACGCAAGCTGTACTTGGATTTTGCGGTGCAGCTGTCCCCCCGCATAGAACCCTTTGAAATTACCCGACCGACTGGTGACCTATGAAAGGCTGTTTACAGTTAAAACAGCTTAAAAAGGGTGGTTATCTTTGTGTGTCTCTGTTCGTCGGCGTGCCACAGACAATAAGCCAAGCGACTGAGAACCATCTGCGAGTGCATTTCCCACGTTCTCCGTGGTGCCTAATACCGCTGTTTCCACAAGTCATGGTCTGCCTGGCGTCACATACTCATCACTGCAACGATCTACAGAGTTGATTTCTACTTAGGACTCAACGTCTTCGTGCTGTGCAGTGTTTTCTCCCTCGCCATCGGATGAACTGAGCGTACTTCTTCTCTCTTTATTTGGTCGGAAACGAGACGACGCTTCACCTTCCCCTTTTGGGGGCGGAGGTGAAGATGAAGTTTTTCATTGGACTGTCCTGGCCTCCATTGTTTTTTTCCTACAGAGAACCTTGGGAAGGCCAGGACATAAAACGCGAGCGCCGAGGCGCTCCCGACAAGCTTTCACAAGCTCGCAGAAGCTCCCATCATGCTTTCATAGAGATTTCGTGATGCTGCTCTCATCATGCAATAACACTCTACCTCTATGTAATGTAATTCAAAGTTACTGTTAACAGCTCCCGGCTCCTCTCTTCAACATCTCCCCGAGACTCTGGCTGGCTCCGCTCCTCTGGGTAGAACCCCGATTACATTAAAAGGTACAAAACGAGGTGTGAACAACAAAAGTTCAATAGAATATTCACAAGTAATGATGCGTATAATAAACCATTCCGCTTAGCCGAATTATGGGCAGCGCTAAACTGTTGCAACAGTTCTGCTCCAGGCTCTGATAGAATTTTTTATGATAGGCTGAGACACTTACCCCAGGAAACTCGAGAAAACACTACTTTTCTTGTACAATTCCATATAGTTTTATGGTGAGATTCCTACTTCCAAGAAAGAGGCTATTGTGATCTCTATTCTGAAACAACAAGGATCCATCCTCTGTCACAAATTACAGGCCAATCGCGTTAACAAGCTTGCTGTGTAAACTTTTCAAAAAAAATAATAAACCACCGAATAATACATTTGATAGAATCTATAGAATTGCTTTACCCACACCACTGTGGTTTACGATAAGGTCGATCCACCACTGACCATCTCGTGCGCATTGAGGGGCACATCCGTGAGGCCTTCGTACAAAAGCAATTTTTTTCTCTCTGTGTTCCTCGACATGGATAAAGCATGCGACACAGCATAGTGATTCGAAGTATTGCAAGATTTGTCCAACCTTGGTGTACGAGATAGAATGTCCAACATAATAGAAAGTTACTTGTCATGTCGCACTTTCTGTGTACGAGTGGGAAACGTGGTATCACGAACATTTGTTCAAGAAATGGGAATACCACAATGTGGTGTCCTCAGCTACATTCTTTTTATTGCTAAAATGAATTCGCTGCATCGTTACATTCCACGTAATATGTATTATTGCACGTATGTGGATAATGTACAGGTAGGATTTCAATCGTGCAACTTGGGTACGTGTGAGCGAAGGGTTCAGCTTGGTCGAAACAAGGTGGCCGAATAGGCTGACGAAAATGGGTTCTGCCTTAATCCCCCAAAAAGTACATGTGTTCTTTTTTCTAGAAGGAGAGGCATGCACCCCGATCCCGATATAGACATACAGGGTTAGCGTCTGTTTGTGAACGCGGATCATAAAATTTTAGGCCTAATCTTAGACACAAAGCTAACTTTTGTTTCACACATTAAACATCTTAAAAACAAGTGTATGAAAACGATATTGAAAGTCTTGCCATGCACAACCTAGGGCACTGACAGAAAATGTCTCCTAAATGTCTGCAACACCGAGCGCATTAAAGATTCTGGATCCTGTTTATCATCTGGGCATCCGTCCCTCTACAGGTGCTTTTCCAATGAGCCCCATAGAGCCTTTATGCTTAGTCGAAATGAGGGGTCACTCTGCCTGCAGAGGTCCTACATGTCTTTCATTTATTACCTGAAAGTGAACGGCGATAAGAAACAACGTGTGCTCTCTATAATTAATGATTTGTCTAGCTCTGCACATTTTGGAAACCGCTTCTCGGTGAGACAGCCCTACTCACTTCGCGTGAGGAGCCTAGCCTAAAAAACTGTTGGGCCGCTTTTTGAACACTGTCTAATGGCTTCTGCTGCACGCCTATCACCATGGCAGTGGCAGGTCATAAAATGTGATGTATCGTTTGCGGAAGTGACAAAACATGCACCTATTGCACATATAGACACATATTTTATGGAACTTAAAACACAAATACGCTTGCCCTGAATTTTTCACAGATGCCTCCAAGTCTTCCACTTCTGTGTCCTGTGAAGCTGTAGGCCCATCCTTTTTGGCTTCCAGTATTCTGCGCCCACAAACAAGCATCTTCATCGCAGGAGCTCATGCGCTATCTGTGACTGCCAAACATAATATGGAATTAAAACTCAAATGCATGGTTATATACACAGACTCCCTGTGTGTTGTAACAGATTTGAAAACAATGAGAAAACAGAAAAATCCTGTGCTTCTATCCCTTTACTCTCTTTTATGCATGATCTATGCACTCAAACGTCATGTTGTAGTGTGCTGCGATCCAGGGCGTCGCGAGGTTGTTGGAAACGTGGCTGCGGACCAGCTAGCTGTATCCGCGCACGGCAATGCTGCCACCAACCCATTTTTGACTGTCCCTGCTTTTGACATGAAGAACTTCCAAAAACAAAGCCTCAGAGTGTATTGGCAGTGTCTATGGTATAGGCAGACAGAAAATAGACTACACATTATTTAACCCAAACTTCAAAATCGACCACCAGTTTCTAGATTACGCTACGGACCAGTAACACTTACCAGGCTACAAATTGGACACACTCACAGCACACATTCATGTCTTCTATCTGGTGGTGAACAATTCAGCTGTGACAAAAGTGGCGAACCACTTGCAGTTCTCCACATCCTTGTCCAGTGCAGTGAGTTGAATGGTATCAGAAAAAAATATTTCTTACTGCCCTACCGACAACAGCTTCCGTTGCACCCTTTTATCTTCAGCGGTAGTGATGCGCTGTTTAAACAAAAGTAATTGTTCCCAGTTTTTAAAAGAAGTACATCGTTTTCACGCTATTTTTTGAGGTGACCCGCAGCACGTCCTCTGTTCAGAGGTCGCTGCTGCAGCGGCCACATAGACAGCACCCTGCCTTGTGGCCCTTGCGTTCAAGGGCACTGATGAGGCAAACATGCTAAATACCATGTCAGCAACAAAGTTTTCCTTATGTTTCTTTTTTTATGATAAGTATTGCCATTAGTTTTTAGTTGTGGATTTAATGCATGCTAGTAAGATGGTCTTTTTTGACCCATTGATTCTGCTGTCTGCTATTATGTAATATGTTCTCACCCATGCAGGTGCAGTGATAGCTGGTGTGTACCGGGCAGCTCGGTTCCACATGATGCCCTTCTATGCACTGGTGTGGGGCTGTGGGCAGACAGTTTTTGCGGTTGTCATGTCCTACACTCGAGTCCTGGCCACTCTCTGACCTTGCTTCTGGATGACTCGCCGGAGAGGCCTGGCCAGAATGTCAGTGTTGTGCACCTCAGAAGAGGAGACTGCTTCAACTTCTTCAGTGGCCACATGTTTGGCTCAGCTATGCAGCCCCTCATGTCACCCGACCAATGCCCTCAGCTGCTCTCCCTGTTATTTGTTCATGTGTGCTCCTGCAGTTTGTGTTGTTCAAAGGAGGGGCTGTGTCATTGTTTGTCATTTCCAACTGACGCAGCCCACCGGCTCTTGATCGGTAGTGTGGCCATTCGCAGCCACCTTGGCGTGGTGTTTTTTAATGTCGGATGTGATTTTTTTTTTCTTTCTTATGCTTTCCGTAAGATGAAGCTCAGTCAGATTGTTTTTAGTGCACTGGCCACAGCCATGAAGCAGAGAAATGTTTGGCATTGTGCCTATGAGAAGGAATCCTTTATGTGGTTGCCACGCAGTTTTTTTAAGCTATGCTCTTTGTATGGTTCAGAGCACCCCTGCCAGGCATTGTGGAGGCATTGTGGTGTGTCGGAAAGAAAATGATTGCCATCAGCTGTGGTCTGCTGGCACAATCATGTGATTAGTACCCTTGTGGGAGCATCACCCCACAATTCATTGCCTGCACAAGAGAGTGAAATTATTAGTCAGTTTTTGTGAATTTTTAGTGAAAACAGTATTACTTCATGTGGTCAGGTTTGTGGCAATGTGGCACAGGGATACCGCAAGTTGGAACAGAGAGTTCCTAGAACTTGTCATGTTGCTGGCCGTAACTGCACTCAACGAGTACACTAATTGGTGGGCATGCAGAGTTCACCTAAGGCTGCTGTGGAGCATTAGCTGTCATGGCTCCACGGTCATGGCTCTGCTGTCATGAGCACAGAGAAATGGCCATTAACTGCTTTATTGCTGCTCATTTGCCCTTTATTCTTAATTTTTATCATTATGTCACGTTTTCTTTTGAGCATTAGCTCTCTTTATTATGTTTTCATTTGTCATTGATGAAGAATACTGATAGCACTTTTGTCTATGATCTCCATTACTTGTAGCATTCTTTATGAACCATTTTGTGATGAAATCTTAATTGCCCAAAGAAGGCTCAAAGACTTTGTATTGAAAACAGCGGCTAGGTGTAGGTGCGTAAGAACAAAAGTACTATCAAAATTTTTGTGTTGTATTGTGCTTGTTATAATGTAAAAGTTTTTCTGTTGGTGGTTCTGGTTTTGTGAACTTCTCTCTCTCTCTCTCTATCTATCTCTCTCTTTTCCAAGAATAGCAAGACATGGCTTTTGTGGTTATGTAAGTTGCTCTGGAAATTTGATGTCTGTAGTCTTAAAATTGGTCTTAAATCACAATGCTTAAACTGCATCTGTGTTTTTTTTTACAAAAACACACATACAGGCATGTTCAGACAGTGGTACACATGCCGAAACGGAAGCACACATTCAGAATTTAGGCATATGCAACATTGATGGCAGTGGCAATCGAAGCAGAATGCTTTTTTTTTTTCACTGCAAGTGTATCTCACATATTCTAAATAATGTTACAGTATACTCCCTTTAAGACGAACTTGAAAGGACCACAATCATTTGTTCATCTTATCAGTAGTTCGTCTGATCATAAGTGCCCCCAAAAACGAAAGGCTAACATGCCAGGTAGTACGCCCAAATGTGTTACTTGAAAACACTGAATGAAGTATACTTGCAATGGGGAGGAAAAGAACAAGAAAAAGCATTTACTTGGCTCAGCTTGATAAAAACCATGCTTTGAAGTAAAGTATTTAAGACTAATCTTACTGGTACTGGATTCCACAAGTTCATAATAAATATGCTCATGAATAAATTGCTACCACATGTCAAATATAAAACTATAGCACGACCTTATTTGGTCGATTAGAAAAAGATAAAAAGGGAGAGACAAGCATCATTTTCCTTCAAAGAATAGAAAATTTATCCCTCTGGCTGTTCACTTTTTGAGAGACATTTTTACTGGCTTTGCTATCACTTTTGAATACGCTTCACTTGCATACTGCTACATTGACAAAGCCAACATCAACATACGCAAAGTCGCTTATGAAAGTTTGTAAGATTTTATTTGATGTTTGGATATTTTCTTATTTTCAGCTCGCAGTAACATTTCCTAAACCACATGCAGCCAAACATCTTCGTTTACACTACTCACAAAGAAAAACAATGCAGCTGTATTTAGTGTGCAAAATGACTTTCCTTTGTTGTGTACTTTCACAATAAAAATGGCGCATCACAAGTTGCTAGATTCAGGCGGGAACAGATATGACGCACACAGGCCTTATGCAAAACAACGTAAACCGAACACATGTGCTCAGGCACCATTATGTGATGGTGATAATAATGCATCTGGCTCCTCTGATCAGAGTGCTAGTGCCACATAAGTGGTTTCCATTTCATGCGATTATAAATGCATAGACAATCTTTGTTTTTATTTTCACTTTCATTTGGCTTTTTTCACACCCCCCCCCCCCCCCCCTTCACTTGCATTTTACCCTTTAGCCTAGCTCTTCTGTTCTTCTGTTCTTTACTGTACTCGTGTTGGGGAACTGAAAAGTACGAGAAAAATACGAAAGGACGAAACCTTTTTGTTGCTTGCTTTGCGGATACAGCCGGCCCTTTCTGCACCTACAGGCTAGGAGTGAGGGAGGTACCAGATGTACCAGCTGACCTTTCTTTTCCACTTATCTCACTTTCTCCGTCCACATTGCAATTTGCTTTCGATATCCTTTGAGTCATTGCACCAGGAAAATGTTTTTCATTTTACTTTCTCTTGTTCGTCCATTGTTTTTGGTTGCTGCAACAGTTCATCTTAATAGAAGAGGCTTGTTATGCAGTTCGTCTTTAGCAGATTTTTTGGCATTGAGTCTATGGGAAACCAAACATACACTCCCGTGCTGTAGTCTGAAACAAGAATTCGTCGTCTTTAAGAAAGTTTACTGTATTTACAGGCAACTAAGTACAAATTGAAATGCAACAGCACTTTATTGTGAATAGCTTTTATGCTTCTGGATTTTTGTAATGTGTTTTCTATGCTGATTGGATGTTATAAATGTGCTTATAAGAAAAAGCACGTTTTATTGATGGGAAAAGGGAGCTTGCACTTAAACAGTGTGTATAAATCGGGGATGTTAATAGTATTATGATGATTATTAACGAAGCCATTGTCAACAGCCATGTCCTCTTTAAGCTATATTATTTTTACACATTTAAGTGAAACAAAACATGAATTTCACCCTGCAATTCATACCACAGTAATCTGAGTGAAACACTGGCCTTTGCACTGAAAGTTTGTCAAACATAGTTTCTGCTGTTCTTTCTGTCACAAAGAAGGTCTTTCGTTACCCTAAATTTTGTGGGCATGAAAAAGGGGGAACGTGTGCAAACGTGGTGCAATCTGCCAAAAATGAAATGCAATGAAAACTGTGGATAACTCGCATTGTGTACTGGGCTTTGATAATGATAGCGTAGGGAATAATATAATTTAGTATGCAACATGAACTGCTGTGGAGTGGCCACCGAAAGTGACTTGAACGAAGATGCCGCAGATTTATTTTAATTAAAAATGTAGCTAACTTGGTGATGTATGGGCACAATTTAAAAATTATTCTATTATTGAGTATATTGGTTTCCAAATGGTTTTTGCATTGTTTTTCTGTGCACCCTGCAACTAGGAAAGGGTTTTTCCTAAACTGCATGCACCTAACACCAGGTCGTTATTTGTTAGCCTCTCATATGTAGCATCTCAGCGCTGATGAAAATATAGAAAATGATGTGGTGTTGACTCAACCTGAGTAAGTGTTCAGCTGTTACTCCAGGAAAGCTCACCATCTGGGCATTAGCTTGTTTGTGAGCTGCTTCAGCAGAGCTTGAGTTGCAAAATGAAGTGTCTGTAGCACATACACTTGATTATAGTAAAGAATATAGTACTTTCCTTATTAGGTCCTTAGAATGAATTACGCATTAAAATACAATCCTGGAGTATAATTCTGTAATATAAATCATAAAAAAAATAGTTTTTAAATTATGAAATCTATTTTATGGCATGCATCTTTCTTTGATTCTAACAAACTTGCACCATAATTCATCACATCATATATATTCTGCGACTTGCTTTCCACGGGAGTGATTGCATTTTATTTTTGGGCTGATAACGTAACATCGACATCTTGCGGTGCAAGTGATCGTACACAAACAACTTTAATGGCTTATATTTTTCATTGAATCTTAGCTTTAGAGTTCTTTGCTCTTTTTTCTTCAAAGTAGGCAGTCATATCATATTTAAAAACTTTTGCAAGCTTGTACTACGCTGCTATGCCTTTTGATTCCCTACTTTGGGAAAGTCTGTTACATAACTTAGAGCTTGTTCATGTTCAATGTGTGTTTGTGCAGCTTGTTTTATTGGCAGCAATGAAAATCCATGCGGCGTGCTCAGTCTATCGTCTTGCAGGTGGCTTGCGTAGTAAATTAATGGTCTACGGGTAACGTTTGAAAAAAAAAAAAAGCCCAAAGGTGAAAGTAAAAGTAAGTGTGTTTTGATGGTGCATTTTTGCAGTAGGCTATTTTATTTCTAGGCCTTTTTTTGGTCCTCTTTGTCTTTATTGTTTTTATAACAGCTGTGAAAGATGTGAATATTCAAGGTTTTGTTTTGTTTGTACCATTTGTTCTCTCTTGAGGACATTGTTGCTAGAGGCAGCAATGTAGCTTTTATGGAAGACTTTTCCGAGGTGCCAATTATTTAATACTCAAAAAAGTTGCATTGCATTGAGAAAACAATTGTTAGCACCAACTGACATCTTTCAACTTGCTGCTCTGTTGTTCCCCAAGTGTCTGTCTTCCATTTGAGAGGGCCCAGCACCGATTGCAATAAGCATTTATGTTTAGGTTTTTTTTTTTCATACTAAACCTACGTTAGGCTGTGGCTGTGGTACCAAGTTCCTTTTGTCAGTAGCAAAATGGCTGTTGGTGACTCATGGTGACACTTGCCTGTATAGAAAGCAGCAGCACAGTCTTGATGTAGCACAAGACCCTGCAATCAGTGGACTTTAAAGGAGGTGTGGTCACAAGGTTACTTGTATTAAAGTGTACAGTGTGTGTCGGTCTCAGTATGAGGCAGTGTACATAGTGTACATAACCTTCGTAGACAGAGGCATTCTACCTGGCCAAACAGGAACACCTGCGTTGGTCAAGATGCTGTATGGGGTGTGTCTGTTGTGAATAGTGTAAATATATGTTATAAAGGTCAGCAGTGCCACAGGAAGCAATTTGTGACACTACAGTGGATGTACAAGAAAGTGGTACATGCAACGGCATCATGCTTTATTTTGTCAAATAAAAGAACAGAAGAAAAGAAAAAGAAGAATATTTATGCAGTCTTCTTGCAGCTAGGAGCTTATTGCAGTAATCTTGCTGCTGTCATCCCTCAGAAGCATGCTGAGCTACCTTGTCAAACCTCAGCAGCGTACTGAGCTATCTTGGACAGGATGCCGCTTTTCTTGGTATTGATATTGCAAGGAACATTGTTGTGGCACAGCCAGGGAAGCAGCACAGCAGAGTTCACCTTGTACAGCTTGTCAAACTGGAACCAAAAGCATGTAATTAGCATTGTTAATTGGTTCACTGCTAAGCAGGTGTGCACCTGGCTGAGTGTTGATAGTTTTCTTAGAGTACATTTAGGAGCAAGTTAGATGAGGACCTTGGTAGTTTGAGAATATTCTATGATTTATTCGCTGTTCCTATGCGATTGAAAAGTGAAGTCTTCCACAAATTGACTGCACTAGACGGCATGAAGTGCTCGAGTTTGATAGAGTTGCTGTTTATGCCCTCATTCCGAGAATGTGCTACATAACAAAATAGTTTGCAAAAGAGAAGAGCCGCGTTGTGAAAATGATAAAATGTCTAAAGTACAGGTTGTAACCGAAGGATTGAAACATGCACACATTGTATGAATTGGAATAAGCGTCTTGGAACATTTTGGTGTCATCCATAGGTAGAACACCATGGATGTGGTGAATTGACATATCCCATGCACTCAATGTTTTTTTTTTTTCATAGTTTTGCTGCATGCGAGTGCACTGCTGCTCATTTTTGTAAGTTCCTTGAAAGCAAAGGATGACTTTCACTGCCGTACTACTAATAGTTCTAAACAAAAGAAAATAATAGAATGCTTTATCTTTTCAGGCACTTTTCTAAAAACAATGTAATGCCCTCTACTTGCTTCGCCAAACCAACTTTTCACCTTAGCGTCGAAGCTTGGCCGTGTTGGTTGAACATTCGAGAGAACACAGCGTAAAAGAAGTTTAGGGCAAGGAAGCACTGTGTGTGTGTTGCCTTGCGTTGTCAGACTTTCCTTTTGTGCGGTGTTCCTACCAACCTTTCATGCATATCACAGCTACACCAACGGTAACACGAGAGTCCTTGTCACACTGAAGCCAATAGCGACTCACTGCAGTGATCACATGGTTTTGCAGCAAACAAATCCATGTTTGCTAGCCATTACACATTAGTTCATCAGATTAATACATTTATATTTCGGCTGTCAGTACTTATATTGTGTTTGCTGGTTTTGGTTAAAAAAATAGCTGTCATTTCTGCCTAAATATAAGAGTTTTTACAATAGGCAGTTGTCATGTTGGAAGGTCAAAGTGCTTCAAATATATACGGGTGTACAAGGGCTAGACAGAAATTGTCTTTTTTTTGGGGGGCGGAGGGGGTTCCTTTATTTAAAGTGGGGGCTGGCCAGGCAAACGTGTGCGAGTGTCATTTTGTACTTTGTACGGATGGCTGGATAAACTTTATTGGATCCTTTGGAACGAGGCGGGCCGCTCCCACGTCGGAATAGAAAGACCAAAGCTTTTTGCTGCTTCGCGGCCCGTTGGACTGCTCATGACCGTTGTTAAGGAGTATTCACACAGAAGAGAAAGCCTCGAGTATTGTGCATAGAATACTGCCAGTATATTCTAGGCACTATACCTTGGGGGAGACGCGGGGATTGCGGATCACGTGAGAACGACGTCACGGATTAGCGACTGCGTGCGTCTTCCCCGCGCCGCCTCGAAGACGACGGGACCTTTTCTCCGACAAATTTATTTATTTATTTATTTAATATACCTCAAAGGCCACCCAACAGGGGGCTTTACATGAGGGTGTGGGCAAACAATATAGGGTTAATAAAACAATGATTCTATGGCATTTTTAAATCTATCCGTGTTGCTATGATGGATGACACTTGGGGGAAGATCGTTCCAGTCCCTGGCTGCTTGAGCGAAGAAGGAGTGATGGTGGGCTGTGGTACATGCAGGAGGTGGGTACACGGCCTTGTGGTGGCTTGTGCGGGCTGAAGTACGATGAGCTGATTGAATGGGACAGTTGTAATGAAACGTATGATACATTTTGTGATACAAGGATAGTCTGGAAACCTTACGGCGTAGGTCAAGGTTAGGTAGATCTGCTATTCTTTTAAGGGTGGTAACACTGGTATGATACGAGTAATCTGAGTAGATGAATCTAACTGCTCGGTTTGAATTAGTTCGATGGACTTACTTAGGTTAATTTGGAATGGGTCCCAAATGGCGGATGCGTACTCTAGTTTTGGGCGAATTAGTGTTTTGTAGGCTAGTAATTTGACTGATGGAGGGGCAAGATGCAAGTTACGACGAAGGTAACCGAGAGCTCTGTTAGCATTGTTAACTATTTTACTTACGTGAAAAGACCAGTTTAGATTCTGTGAAATGTTAACACCGAGATATTTAATGGAACTTAGGGAAGAAACTATGGAGCCATTAATATTATAGTTAGTGGTGGGTAAGTTTGGCGTCTGTGAAATGAAATAAGTGCAGTTTTATTAGTATTTAATACCATGAGCCATTTGCGACACCACTCGTCCAGCTTTAGTAGGTCCTGCTGGAGAGTAATTGTATCTGAAACGTTAGTAATAGGTCGGTAGATTACACAGTCGTCGGCAAAGAGGCGGATGTTAGATGAAATGTTATCGGGTAAATCATTGATGTAAATTAAGAAGAGGAAGGGTCCTAGAACTGTACCTTGTGGCACACCGGAGATTACGTTGGAAAGGGAAGAGGGCGTATCGTTAGCTTCAACAAATTGCTGACGGTTAGTGAGGAAGTCCTGAATCCAATTGTAGACAAGTTGGTTAAGGCTTAATTGGGAGAGTTTTAGTAGTAGGCGGTTGTGGGGAACTTTGTCAAAGGCTTTCTCAAAGTCAATAAAAAGGGCGTCAACTGGTATGTTAAGGTCTACACTAGCGCTTAAGTCATGGATGAATAGTGCAAGCTGAGTATCGCATGAGAGTCCCCTTTGGAATCCATGTTGGTTAGGGTGAAAAAATTTAACTGAGGTAAGGAAGCTAGCGATTTGTGAATGAATTATATGTTCCATTATTTTTGAACAGACGCTGGTTAAGGAAATTGGCCGGTAACTAGATGAACCAGGCTTAGGAACCGGAACGATCTTACCCACTTTCCAGTCGTGAAGAACGATGCCGGATGAGAGTGATTGCTGAAAAATATAGGAAAGAATGACACTGGTGATTTCTTGGTGTTTTTGAGCACCTTAGCATTTATACCATCGATGCCGCAGGATGATGCAAGTTTTAACGACTCGATAATTTTCTGGATGCCCTGAGGTGAAAAAATGACGTCCGGCATGGTAGGGTAGTTGTGGGGGGAGACATCAGGGAGGTTTTCAATCGGTTCTCTGGTGAAAACGGAAGAAAAGGTATGGCTTAGTTCTTCTGCTACTGCATTATTCGCGATAGGCTGTCCAGTTGGATCCATTATTGATATGCATTTGTTTTCGTTTCGCGGGTTAATCACTCTCCAGAATAGTTTCTGAAACTGAAACTAAATGAAACTACCCACCCGGCGGCAAGGGATATGGTAGAATTTCGCGCAGCTGTTGGGCATTACTGTCGCACGTGCTGCGGGATCAGCGTTTCTATAGGCTAAGCTAAACGTTGTCCTGGATAGAGCCGCAATGCGCTGGTAGTTCCTTACTAGACAGCTGGTGAAATGGGCGATACAAGCCACCAGAGTGGTCTGGTGACACTGGTTTGCCTCGAGCGGGGGAAATTTGCGAGGCCCGTCCGAATGCCCCTTTATGGTATCTACTCGAATCTAACGCGCACCTTTTTTCCGGTTAAGCTAGTTCATAAATCGCATGCGCGTTAGAATCGAGTACGAAAAAAAAAAATATCTGGTCATTTTATTGCCATCAGCATTTCCAAAATGGCCGCCCCCTAAGTGCCGCCCGTGCGTCCGCATGACGCGTCTGCCATTTCTGCCTATGTGTTTCCCTCGTGCGGCACTTCGTACGTGTGCTGAGGAGTTCGTCATCTAGTAGTGCATTAGCATCGACGGCATGGAAGGGCCGACTCCAAAAACTCGAGGGCACCACAGTGCCACTTTTAAAAGAAAAGTCATCGCGTGTGCAGAAACGGACGGAAATCGCCACATCGCGGTCGTTCGGAGTTCCCGAAACGTGCGTACGGGACTGGCGGAAACAAAAGCAGAAGATTGTCAACAGCAAAGCTTCACGCAAAGGCTTCAGTGGACCACAGTAGGGTCGGTTTTCGCAAATTGAAGAGCTGCTCGGCGAGTATGCGCTTAAGCAGCGAGCGGCCCATGACGACAGAACTGCTCTAAGGGCGGGTTATGCAGTTAGCCTTAGAAAAAGGGCTAATGCGGAGCCAGTTTGAAGTGAGCAGGTGCTGGCTAACTAACTTTACGAAGAGGAAAGGCTTCTCCCTCCGAAGGCGAACGGGCATCTGCGAAAAGTTTCCGGAGGAGTACGATGAAAAGCCTCACAGTTTTCAGAGGTTCGTCCTAAACTTGCGCCACGACAACGACTACCTGCTTGGGCAAATCGGGAATGCCAATCAGACGCCTCTTTGACATACCTGGCACCACAACCGTCGAGAAGGGGGCGAAGCAAGTTCGCGTGCTGACGTCGGTCCACGGTAAAACTACGGTGACGGCAATGCTCTGTTACACGTCAAGTGGGCACAAGCTTCCCCCGTACCTCATATTTAAATGGAAGACGCTCCCGAAAGGAGTCGTTTTTTCGAGTGGTGTGATCGTGCGGGCCAACGAGAAAAATGGGTGCGCGTTACGATCGAGGGCGCGGTAGAGTCGAGTAAATACGGTAATAGCAGCCTCCCATTTGAACGACGTATATGACATCACGCCGAGCAGCGTCTGCGATGTTTCGCTGCCGTGTCGGTGTGTGGAGATCTGTGGCGGTATTCAGTTCTTGCAAAATTTAGTTCAAGCAAATGACTTCCACTGTGGCGTGTTCGTCTGTGGCGACAGTCAAGTAATAAGGAGAAATGTGCACCGGCGTAGCCA